GTTGGCAGTGGGTGATGATGACTAGATGCCTTCCCTCTAGTCTTACACTACTAAATTGGGGATGGCTAGCCCACATAGCCCTCGTGTAGCTTTGCACGAAATTCAAACAAACAAACTTTTGAGTATCTCTTTTCCTTTTGTGTTCCTGCATTTTAAGTTGTTTCTATAATTAAGTAGTCTTTGCACTCATAAGGGAAAAAAATGCAGACTATTCATAGCAAAATGTCTCTTGTTATATTGCAGTTAACACATTAACCCTTGACAGACAGGAGAAGTGTCACTCATATCCCTTGGTTTTTTCCCCAGTCACAACGAAAATGCTAAACCAAATTACAGGAAACTTAGAAAAAACTATCTAACTAGTATTTACTTTTGGCTTGCAAACAAATCATAGAATTTGATTTTTTTTATGTTGTAAAATTTCCAAAATTTTGTTGTGATAACTGTTTTAAAAATTGACAATACTTCTTTTGACCTTAGAATTTCAATATGTTTTACTGTTGGTCATGAAATTTCATTTTATCTATTCTGTCAGTTACAACATGATATTCATTGAAATATTTTTTTTGATATGTTATTTTGTTAATTGCAGGAATCACCATTTGTAATTATGAATTATAAAAAAACTGCAAAAACTGACAAACATGTATCAGTGACTTTGAACCTGACCTATCAAAATGACATAAGGCCAGGTTGTCGCATTTTTGTAATAATATTCTTGGCTAATGTCACTATATAACTAATAAATATTGCTCATTTTCAATAAATAATAAGATATTATATTTGTGTGTGTTGTTTAAATACGATAAACTTAATAAAATTCAGTAAATATAGACTCGATCCATTGGAGTATTATCAGAGTTTGCACACAACCTGATATTTCATTCTATCCCTGGAATACCAGGAGAAGTTCTGATTTTTTTCATTTGCCCCTGGAAGAATGAAAGCTCTCCTATGTTAGACACTTTATAGTCAAATGTTTATTGATATCTAATCCTAATGTGAAATGTTCGATCGTTTTTTGTTGTTTTTTTAAACCATACACACATTTTCCAGTCGGGTGCAATTTATGCGAGTCATCTGGGTTTTAGATGGTGATGTGTTACCATTATGATCATAGTGCATGCAATGCATGCCACAAATCTCATTTCCTATCACCTGAATGAGTATACACACACAGCACACTCAACGCAAATGAGTGTGCTGTCAAGCAGAACAATAGGCCTACATATAGCCTGACATTGGCTGACAATAATAAAGGGCAAATGCATATTTAATGAGGGGTGGCTCAAAAAGCCAGTATAGTTGGTTGAACCAAGATCTGGGTAAATACAATGCAAGATGCAATTTATGCATGAAGGCATTCAATACCTCTAACATGGGAGAAGTGGCTTAATAAAGCCATGCTGCGGGTATGAGCTATGTGCGTTCGTGTTGAACAAGCGGGAGGAATATAATTTTTTTTAAATAAAAGTTCTCTTTAAACTAAAAGAGATATTCAAACTAATTTCACTCGTCCACTCCCAGCTGACACAGCCACAAGTACATATACCTCACAGCAATCACTGACTCCATTTGTTTCAAGGTCAGATTCTATAAAATCTGAAATTCTATGGATATTGAAATTTGTCAAATCACGTTAATCATTCAACTCGTGTTCAGACGTCAGTCCACTTTTTCTCAGGCTCAACAAAACGGTTTTCATGTGATGAGAGGAAATGTGCTTACTTGTGAAAAATTGGAATAGTATCATATCTGAAATCTATACTCACTAAAAAAATCAATTGCCAAAATGGATATGTCTTGCCTAATTCTCAAGAACAGAAAAAAAACAGATGGATGTTCATGTATGGATTTGGGAAGATGATAAAGTCTGTACGAGACTATCAGTATATATTTAACAACAATACTACTAATAAAAATAATTGTAATAATACTACTACTACTACTAATAATTATTATTATTTTTTCTTTCTTACAGTCATAAAGATAGATAAAGTATAGATAAAAACTTAATTAGAATATACCTTCTGTGTTACTTTCTTTTACTAACTAACTTTTACTAACCTTCATTCATTATAGAAATATTTAAACATGCAAAAATACAGTTCACACAAAGCTTAATCAAATTATTTGTGGGTTATAACTATGACCATTTATTTCTATAAATGTAAGTAAATATAACCAAGCAAAAGACAAAAAGGCAAAATTATTATTAGAAGTGTATGTTAGCAAAATTTCATATTAATGTGTATCTGAAGTTAACAATTTAATAATTATAGCACAATAATCCCAAACAATCACTCACACGCCTGATAAAAAAAGTGAAATTAATGACAATACCAGAGGGGCACTCAGCAGAGTTGCATACTACCATCTTGCAGCATTTTAAGAAATTCTTAATTTCATCTAGTTAGAGAATTGTGAAGTTTTCTGTCAAGACATCCCTTCTTTGTAATTTATTTACCACCTATTTTGTGGTTTCTGTTTCAGTTACAGGTTTGTTCCCACATGAACCATATTAACTAGCTTTGCAGGATTTCTAATGAATGTTGTTGCATAGTTAGAAAGCCAGAACAATTGTGATAGTTATGGGTCATTTCATTGTTTTTGCATATTATTATTCTGTATTCTTTTGAGCATTATTCAATGAAATAAATTTTTGATAATAACTAAAATGTAAAAATAGGAAACTTTTTAAGTTAAGGTTAGAATAGGTAAAATAAATAACAATATAATAAAAATTTATTGCTAAGTGAGCAGCATGTTCACCAAGTGATCTAAAACATGATGTTGCAAATAGTGGTCAAACATGGTTCACAGTGACCTTGATCCTGCAAATACTAATCACTTCTAACTTGGGTCATGGTCCATATGCATTTCAAGATTTGTCTAAATCCATCCAGCTTTTTTAAAAATCTTGCTAACAAACAAACACACATGAGTGAAAACATAACCTTTGTGAAACTATGAATATTACTTAGCTTATATACGAATACTAGTTAATAACCAGTTTTTAATATTTTTTTTTAATTGTGTAATGGTACTTATATTCCATAAATCCCTGGGGAGTTGGTTCATTATATATGGTATTTTATACACTCTTACTCTTGTCCCATAGTTATTATATTTTGGGATTTTGTAATATTTATTTTCTAGTGTTCTGGTTTTATACATATGACTTTTTAGTACTTAATAACTTGAACTATAATAAGAATTTATAATTATGACATATTTATAAAGTACATTTATATCTAATAACTAATTTCTCATAATTTTATCTCTTAATGTAACATTTGTATTAAGTTCACCAAAGATGAAATATGAATTACATTTATTTATTTTTTAAGTGAATGCCACTCATTGAACCATACACTGTCAATCCATAACATATAACAGATTTTGATAATGATACATAAGTTATTTTTTAATATTGACTAGAAAAATATTCTGTATCCTTCATAACTTTGCTGTAATGGGTCTTAATTTATTGCAAATTATATTTATATGTTTAGACCAACTAAAAACATTATCTATAATTAGCCCCAAGTATGTCTTTGTATCAAATATTTTCAATATACTTACAATCAGAATTCTTTGTGTTTTCTGCAAATAAAGGTTTGTATTTAGTATTACATCTTTGATCATGACTTTGTAAAAATGTTATCAATATTTGTATATTATGAGCTTTCATTTATATTAAGTCAGTGCTTTAATTTATTGAAATCATCTTGTAAATTCCGATACTATATCTTACCACCTCTCACAAATAGCTTTCTCATCTTAAACTGTCCTCTATCTGTGCAAATTTTTGCACGTCACTAGCCTTCATATTCCCACTTATTTCTGCATACTAACATGCAAATGATTATACAGCAACCCTCCATGAATATGAGTATGACACTACCCCTATCATAACCAGTGCCCTCTCTAATTTTGCAGCTGTTAACCACTTCTTGATTGACAGCCCTATTGAATAGACCTGTTTTTGCTCAAACAGCTGGTTTGATGCATTTATCCACAAGTTTTACTTTTGTAATTTTATACTTTAATTATCTTGTTATTTATAATTTTCATTCTATTTTGTAGACAGTTATGAATTATTTCATTAATCTTCTCTCCTCTTTCAATTTTGTTAGTTATTCACTTGTAGTTTCAAGTAGTCATGACTACAACTGCTGAAGTGCAATTCTTGGCCCATGAAGTGACGGCCCTGGTCTGTTTGGAGTTGACCAATTTCATGCAACAAACAGAACAAACTGAGGATTGTCCTATTATGGTTTTTGGTGGTTGTGAAGTTTTGGATTTGGACAGCCTTTTTTTTCCCCTTCTGAATATGCCTATCAGTTGTGTGTCATTTTGGGGGACTTGCCCCAGAACTCTTTCCCC